CAACCGCTATTGTCAATAAAGTACAGAGCCGCAACAAGGTCCTCAAGTCGCTAGCCGGCAGTACTTGGGGCAAAGACAAAGAAACGTTGCTGGCAACATACAAGGCAATAGGCCGGCCGGTTTTGAACTACGCAGCGCCAGTGTGGTCGCCAGGGACTAGTAGGACGCAGTGGACGAAGCTACAGACGGGACAAAATACGGCACTTAGGACAGCGACGGGATGCCTCCTGATGTCGCCAGAACATCACTTGCACGGCGAGGCGCAAATGCTCCCAGTTAAGGAGCACAACATAATGCTCTGCAAGCAGTTCCTGATAGGGAGCCACAGAAGTGGCCACCCAAACAGACAGCTGCTTGCAGAGGAGCCCTCGCCTAGGCACGTCAGGAGGCATCTATATGAACTGACGGACGAAGTCCAGAGGTTCATTAAGCAACCTCTGGACCCGACAGCGTACAGACAGGCCCTGAACGGCATTCAAAGGGACTCAGTCTCGAGTTAAGTAGACTCTAGACCTGTGAATGCCGTTCTAGGCATACCACCTCCGGACATTGACGAGACAGAGCTTCATCTGCCTCGGGAGACACGCACTACACTTGCCCAACTTCGCTCCGGCTACTGCAACAGGTTAAACTCCTACTTGAGTAGGCTGAATGAGGATGTGCCGAACAAATGTCCGGCATGCAGAGAGACCCCACTTGACTCGAACCATCTCTTCGCATGCCCGGAAAACCCGACAACCCTAACGGCCCTGTCCCTGTGGACAGATCCCACAGAAGCTGCACGCTTCCTAGGGTTGCCGTTAGTGGAACTTGACGACAACGACTGAGATACCAACCGATCTGGGCGGGGTTGTTGTAGCCGCTACAACAACAACAACAACAACAACAAATATATTTGAATCAACACATTTTGCAATAGGACTGCGCAATTATTAAATTTATTATAACTCGTATTAATTGATTAATCGCACAATCCGCTTTTAAGAGCTCGGCGATAAAAATAAAATAAAAACCTATAAGGCGAGATCAGCTATTTCCACAATTTCTTCAAAATCACCTATAGTGTGAATCATTTATATTTCTGTTTTGTCATATATTGAGCTATTCAACCTTGATAACATTCTGTTTTTCAGCAGAAACTGTTAACCTTCATATAACACTTTATTCGAACTATTGAACCAACCTCATGGTGCTTTTACATGGTATGAATCTGTTCATAAGCCGTATGAATTTTCCTATAAAAGAAGCACCAACTCTATGAAGAAATGAATGAAAGCGATATATATTTAACAATTTTGACTTGTATACTAGACAATATTTTTTTTTGTAAACAACAAATAAAAAAAAATTATTTTGTGCTAGCTTCGAAACTAGAAGCTTATTTTTTTGTTAAATGTGCTTTAAAAAGGACCTTCTGCCAATAAAGCCTTGTGAATTGCTATTTTTCCATATTTGTAATGCTTCCATTTAAACATCTTTGTAGAAAAAGTTTTTTGTTCAGAATTGCTTGTTTACGAAACGTTTGGCATAAGTTGAAATCATAGGGATGCCGTTTTCTTCCGTTTCTCAGTGGATTTTATACTTGAAAAGGCACCAAAATATGTATGCAATACTTCTACATATCTTCGTTTAAAGCACAAAACCGCGCATCAAGGAAATGCAAAACCTCGTATGGGAGGTTGCCTAAATTTTAAAAACGGTTCTCTCTTTTAAACTTAATAATCTTCTCTCCTTATGTCTAAGTCGATATTTTATTATATCGATATTTTATTATAAATGGCTAAGGGCTTGATGTCAGGAGCTTCCGATGACCAAATATCTTTTTTGGCACAAATTTCAGTTCCGAGGTTTTGCAGAACCACGATACGCGCTTTTGTACTTTAAACGACGAATATGTATATCGCTTCAACAATATGTTAGCGTTTGGCCTAGCTTCTCCTCCGATATGCGGCGTGCGTGATTTTGTCACACAAAGTAAAGGACAGTTTTACGCCGACTCCGAACGGCAGTTGTATTTTAATGAGAAGTTGTTTCCATGACAGAATACACTCGGAGGTTTACTATTACCAACAGAGGGGCAACCACTATTAGGAAAACTGGGCTTGAACTCAGGCTCTGCGTAATGCTCTACAGCAGCCGCCACTACTTTTACATATATTGCTGGTATATTCAAAATACTATCCCGAAC